AGATGACTGTACACTAGATGACTGTACACTAGATGACTGGTACACTAGATGGCTGTACCCTAGATGACTGTACACTAGATGGCTGTACCCTAGATGGCTGTACCCTAGATGGCTGTACACTAGATGACTGTACACTAGATGGCTGTACCCTAGATGGCTGTACACTAGATGACTTGTATACTATATGACTGTACCCTAGATGGCTGTACCCTAGATGGCTGTACACTAGATGACTGTACACTAGATGACTTGTATACTAGATGACTGTACCCTAGATGGCTGTACACTAGATGACTTGTACACTAGATGACTGTACCCTAGATGACTTGTACACTAGATGACTTGTACACTAGATGACTGGTACACTAGATGACTGTACACTAGATGACTGTACACTAGATGACTGGTACACTAGATGACTGGTACACTAGATGACTGTACACTAGATGACTGTACCCTAGATGGCTGTACACTAGATGGCTGTACACTAGATGACTGTACACTAGATGACTGTACACTAGATGACTGGTACACTAGATGACTGTACACTAGATGACTTTACACTAGATGACTGTACCCTAGATGGCTGTACCCTAGATGGCTGTACCCTAGATGACTGTACACTAGATGACTGTACATTAGATGACTCTACATGCCTTCTTTATCTTCCCTCCCTTCCCTCATCTTTTTTCCACAGAGTATTTCTTTGAAGAGAGAAAAATGTCATCTTTAATATGTATCTTTTTGACATATCTAAAATAATACAATATGAAAACTATTGATGTGATAAATCATGAAGGTTTTAAAATTTTAAGAATTCATGTTTACTCTTCTGTGATCATAGTTTGGGATTCTACTTTCAGATAGTTGAGTCCCTTGGGCAAAAACTATTTTCTAGCTTTCTGACTTAACGTTCTTCATCACAAAGATTATATGTGAATTTGAATTCTAAATTTATTTTAAAAGCAACACAGCACAGCTTCACAAATCACCGCTCTGCTTCCCCACGCTCACCTTTATAGAAGATGGCTCTCAGATTTTTCTTTTTGTTTTATTTTGTTTTGGTTTGTTTCAACGTAAGTCACGATCAGACTGAATTTTGAGCCCAGAATGTGGTTTAAATGAACACTAAAGTCACCACTTTCTATTTTTGGCAGTGCCGAGATGTGAGAACCAGAGAGGTTGGAATCCAAGAAATTCATCACAAAGTGCGGCCATACCAGGTTAGTCTCTTTTAGATCTCCCCTAAGCTTGGGCCCCATCTGCTTACAGAGCAAACACCAGAAGGGAGTGGATAACTAAGCAGGCAGAGAGTAGCTGGAGATTAGATGCAAAACCAGCCAAAAAGCAGCTACGAGAGTCACTAGGTTATGAAAGAGCCAGGTTAGAAAAACCAAGCCTGCATCTGGTTTCTGATCAGCACTGTCCAACAGAACCACCCAGTGTGAGAAACACTCCACAGTTGAGCTGCCATACTAGTCATAGATGACTCTCAGGCGTCTGACTATGCCTAGTACAAATGAGGGCCTTGGAGTTGTATGTTATTTAACCTTAACAAATTCAGGTGTGGATGGCCATGTCTGACCAGTGGCTCCTCTTCTGGAGAGCCTGCCTGCCAATCTCATGGATGTAGCTGTGAAATTCTTGTCCACTGGTGGTAATCAAATGAGTAGGTGACAGCGAGTAGCCAAGTTCCACAAAGCTGAAGTGCAGTGTCCTAACACAGTCGCTGTATGTGACGCATGGCTTCACTTTTATATCATAATGTCTGTCTTTGTGCCGCTGTTTCTGTGGGGTGTAATTCTTATGGGAATCCATTTGAGGAAGGCTGGAATAGATGATCTCTACATTAATGTTTCTGTTCTTAGCATGAATTATTACTTGACATTTTACACATCTGGGGCCTTTTGAGAGAAAAAATAGACTCAAGACAATTGTTTTGCCAAATTACGCAATCTGGTTATTTTGCAAACATTAAGCTGAGGGCTATTTACCTCAGTTTGAGTACAGAGTGTGTCTGTTTATCCTTATTCAAGTATGTAGACCCTATTGTTCCACAGTGTTCATTTTTATGCAAAGTGCCAAGAGTATTTGTACAACTGATTGAAGAGTCAAAGTCTGTGTAGGTTGCTACCACTGAAGTCCTCTCCATCCGTCCATCCCCCGCCAAGAAAATACTCTCTAGTGATTGGACTTCAACATATTAATCCCATCAAAGAAGAAGGGATCAGTATCACCACACCCTCCAGAATAGCTTTTAGTGAAGAAGTAAAAGCTAGGAAATGAAACTATTGAATATCTGACCATTTTGAAGACAAGAGGAGGTATTCCTAAGAGCTGCACGTATGGCTAAATTTCTAGTTTTATCTTAGAGACTACTCATGGGAGATCGAAAATTTAAATACATAGACTCATTCCCTGAGCTGGATATCTGTAAGAATCTCAAGGTAATTAAGTTCAAATATTTGTGAAATTGTCCTTCGTTTACAATAGTCTACTCTTGTTCAATCTCTGTGCTACCTACAAGTAAGAAGCATAATTAGCCATGGTGCCTTCTTTGTTTGTAGCTGAGTATTGACCTTCATACGTGCACACCATTATAAAAGATGAACTTGGTTCTCTAATTCTGAGCAGTATTTTCTTGTTGCTTTTTATCCAACAGGTTGAGTTGGTAAGGAGAGATTATGTTGCCAATGGTGGCTGGGAAACCTTCCTGTCCTACGAAGACCCTGATCAGGACATTCTGATTGGCCTCCTGAGATTACGGAAGTGCTCAGAAGAAACTTTCCGTTTCGAATTGGGTGGAGGCGTTTCCATAGTGCGGGAGCTGCATGTGTATGGAAGCGTGGTCCCTGTGAGCAGCCGGGACCCCACAAAGTTTCAGCATCAGGTATCCCACGCTCTGTTTCTGTGTGGTTTAGAGCTAAGAAATTGCCCAGAAGAGGAAGAGACAAAAGCAGTGGGGTGAGGAAGGGAAGATGAAGCAGAGAAGGGGGGAGGGAAGCAGGAAGAGGATTCATACTCCAGTTGTTCAGAGATACTCTGTCTTTGTGGTGCTCCCTTGGGAGTTCTTTGGCAGCCAAGGGGAAAAAACAGATCCAAGTCCAGAGTATGAGACTGGAATGTCACCTAATGCTTACTGTGGAATCAAATGAGATGACAGGAAAGCATTTAACATCAAAGCACTTCACAGGTATCAGCTGTGTCATATGTATGAAACCCTGTCCTGACCCCCAACAACCTGAGACTAGGAATGCACATTTTTAATTTCAGGAAAATATGTTAAAGGAGGCAATAGTAGATCTAGGGTAAGTCGTAATTTGGATAATGCAAGAATTTTGCTGGGTTCTAAACCCTTTTAGAAACTGGAGGGGTGACTCGTAAATAAAAGACTACCCTACACCCGGTCACTAGAGTTGCCTAGAACTTACCTAAAAAGAGATGGCAGCTCAGAGGGAATTGCCCAGCACCATGACTAGGTCCCATCGCCCACAGAAGCCACTTGGTGGCTCTGTTAGAAAGGCAGCCTTTCCCTTACCACCACAGTCTGCTTCTAGCATAATCAAATGACTTTCTCCCTACTCAACAAGTAGATTTTTGTTACTCTTTTTAAGAAATTTTAGCAACTACTAAATTAGAACCTTATTTTGTGAGTCTCTCTTGCCTCTCCTAACCTCTCTTTGCTGCTCCTAGGGATTTGGCATGCTGCTGATGGAAGAAGCGGAAAGAATAGCTCGGGAAGAGCACGGGTCTGGGAAGATAGCAGTCATCTCAGGTAACAGGTCTGGGAAGATAGCGCTCATCTCAGGTAACGGGGAGGGTCCATGATTCACTCATTCACATTTCAAACTTGGCACCATATTGGATCCATCCATTCTCCTGTCTCTCTGTATGATTATTGTGTTCCGAATTGGTCCAGGCTGACGAGCAAAGACTTGTGTTTAGACACTCAGGAAATTCCATAGAGTTGTTGGGTGAACTAGCACTTCTCAAAGTGCTCTGCTTCTCAGAGCTAGGGCCAGCAGCCCCTGTCCTCTTTTCTTTGCTGTCCATCCTCTGGTCACTGTGGTCAGCTTCTCTCTTGGGCTTTATTTCCAGGGAAATGGAACTGGATGGTGTGAGTTGAAAGAAAATGTTAACTTAATGTGGAGAGTCATTGGGGTTCAGAATATTGAACTAGAGCCTGAGTTGTTAGTGCAAGGTATTAAGGGGACCTGAAAGGGAGAGCAGGCAGGAAAGGATGGGTATGGTGGGCGTGGTGGGTGTGATGGGCACCCCCTTGTGCTGCGCTCCTCAGTGTCACAACCCTCATAGGAAGCAAAGATGGTAAAAAGCAGAATCAAAATTTAGGATGTTTTTCCCCCAGACTACCAGAAACTTAGACTACCCAGAAACTTATCAGTAACCTTCTGAGAAAATAATCTTTTCTGAAAATGAAAACTGAACTGGGGCTTTTAAAAAGCAAATTCAATAAGAAGTTGCCAGTCGATAAATCAATACCCATATACAGACCTTAATGATTATAATTGTGAAAATATAATCACAGAGGCTCACTTAATCATTTTGTGTGACTGGGTTTTTTATGTTGCGCATATTAATAACAAGTTTCTTAACATGTCTAGCTTTGCATATTTGTCTCTGTTTTCCTTAATCCCACAAAGTAGCACCCAACTGAGACTCCCCTGACTGTACTGACATTTAATAGGAAAGTGTTTCCCTTTCCCCACCTTACCCTGCAGTTGGCCATAAGTACTTGGAAAGGGCAGCCTGCCTCAGAGCACACTGCATGTACATCTGGGGAGGATTGATAACACCAGAAATTTTTGTGTCCTTTCTGCCAGAGCACTGCCCAAATTCTCATTAGAGAACTTCTGAGATCATAATGTGCTTAGGAATCCCCCACAAAGCTGCTACAAGGTGGACTCGACTCATTAGGTAGATCTTGTTGAGCTCAGAGCCCATATCTCTCCAGCTCCCATGCCTGATTGTCTTCAGACCACATTTGAGTAGCAAGACTCGCTAGTGTTCTCCAGACATCATATCTTCTTCCCAGTCTTTAGGTGCTAGTAACTGTCTAACCTGCAGCCCAACACCCCCCAAATGGCATTCAGACGTGATTTTCTGGTGTCTGTGGGAACCTACAAACCACAAGGCTTCCATATTCCTTCACTGCCTTTCTGACATCTCTCTTCCCTCAGAAATACCCACAGAGGGCCTCTGACTTGCCTGAGGTCAAATCCAATTGCTTGTAAGAGCCTCGGGGTCTGCTTTTACTGAGCAGGGTGTCTTTCTAAGTGGAAGTCAGCATCTGTCCTCTTGATGGCTTTTATTCATAATCTAAATGATAGCTCAATTTCATATCATCTGCATGGAGAATTTCTAAAATATCAAGAAGAGTATTGGCTAGAGAAGCAGGCAGAAGACCCTTTCTCCCTGTCAGCTGGTAAGGTACGTCTCCTACTCGAGCACCCTGCAGAGGGTGTCTCCCAGCTAGCTGTGAGCAGCTAGGAGCAGCCCTGGGAGGAAGGCCATCTTGGAACTAAAGCCAGGTCTTTGTGGAAGAGAGGATGGTGAGCAGTGTTTCCTGCCCTGTGGTCTGGGAGCCCTACCGTTGTCTGTAAGGGAAGCCACGTAGGGCCTCCTTGACTTCCCGTGTGGATTCCTGCTTGGATCACTCTTCATGTGGGAACACGAAACACGTTTTGCTGTGTGGCCAGTACACTTCATTTCTCTATTTAGCAGTATGTCACTGCTTTCTTAAAGTTTCTGGGGCAGACTCTGGAGAGATCTCTTACTTAGAACTTAGGGGAGGTAGAAACCAACCAAGTATGTGTTGTTGGACCGAATTTTAGTGTTGCTCTTTTCTTCCGTGTTTGGTCACATTGGCTTTGGTTTTTCTAAGTACCGTGATATGTGTGTGCACACATGCGTGCTCACATGTACATCTTTTGTAAAAAGTCCAACAATTAACTCTGCATACTGATCTAGAACGGGAATCTCTACAGGATCGATAGTACTGATGTTTACAGGCTGCATTTCATCAGTGAGACACTGCATTAGACATGGATGGCATAAAGAGACATGCCTGAGGTAGGTGTGCAGGGAGCCGGGGTATTCGATGATGAAATTGGTAGATAAAGTTTCCCATAGGCAGTTAATCCCTTGGGTCGTGGATCTATAACTTTGGTCACAACCGATGCTGCTCCCTGACCTTGGCCTCAGATCCTAAGCCTGTCCTCTCTGTGAGTCCATGGGTCTCCTGTCAGTCACACAATGCAGTGGCTTAGATGTGCTGTGTTGGCATAGCTAGTAACTTGAGTAACTGAGACAGAATCCTTTACCATGTTGGTTACCCAGGCTGCAAGAGTGATGCATTTGCGTAGAGTTTTTAAGATTACATTCTGATTCCTTATGACTTCCCTTCATCTTGCCAATAGGTTTTCTCTGTTACGTAGATTTATGATCTTTGCTTCTTCCTCTGGACAGTATTATTAACTGCATCGTAGATCTAACTTGTGTCACTGATCAGAAAGGCACTGTATAGTCTCATTTCCCTATTAAAAAGCATTGCTTCTGTCTGTCACCTCAGCGTGTTTGAAGTGTACGTCACGTGCTTGATGAGCTAGTGCTACATCTACAACCGCATGAGAAAAACTGAAAACTGCTTCACTGGTCAGTCAAATGAAGTATTTTCCAATAGGCTTTCAAGTTTATTCACTTTTTTTGAAGTACGTAATTGTCTTAGTAAACTGTTTTAAGGGGTCCATGACCCCAGTACTTGGAAAGCTAAAGCAGGATGATTGCCCAGCTTGGGCTACAGAGTCAGACTTCATTTCAAAAGAAGAAGTCTGGTGTTGGGCTGCCTTCTGGGCGTGCTCGAGTGGCCATGCATTTGGTCACCAGTGATTGTCCCTGTCTGCAGTAGAGGATGAGTGCTCCCTCCTTAGACTCCAGGCTGTTCATTTCTCCATTAAGATCAAATACTTGCAAGTCAGAAAGTGCTCTTTCTGCATATAAAAATGGGCAAATCAACGTTCTGAAAACAACTGATTTGTAAAATAATATATAGGTAGGAAATAGCCATTAATTGCTGCTGAATTGCAAAGCAATTAGTCCCTGTTTGGTTCAAGTGCTTTAGCATCTCCTGTCAGTACACAGCTCTTGAAGGTGGACAGATTTTATTTACTTAAAAACGGAAGTGTCAGTCTATGTGGTGGTCAGCAGTCTGTCCTTCAAACATCAGAAGCAGTTTGTTTCATCCCTTGTGTGTATGAGGTGAGATGCAAAGGACCTCTGCTGTGGAAACTAACCACAACATTTCAAATGCCATCACTAACGATCACCATGGAAACCAGAGCTCTGATGTCACACTGCTGATACCATTCCCACAAGGACAGTTTCAAAAGCCATTGAACACCTCCAATAAAATGAGGATTTTTTTTTTTCCTTTTGGCAATTTTGGCTAGGTATCAGATTTAATCATGCTACTGTTTCAATTTGCCAAGCTAATTGCTATGCAGTAAGATGAACAGCTACTCCCCAAGCTCCTCTCCTGCCTTCGTCATAAGCAATATTCTATTTGTGTTCCTTCAAGTAGAAAATTAATATGGCCATTGGCCAAGAACTGTGCAAGGGTGATAGAGCACACCGAGATGGTGAGAAGCAAGAAAAACGTCTGACTGGTTAATGACAGACATCTCTGAAGTCAGAGCATGATAGCCATATTGTTTAAATCTATTGCAAAGCCCAGGATGAGGGGAGGGGAGAATTTCAGTGTGGGATGATTAGACAAGTCACTGTGGAGATGAGATCATTCTTACTCATAGTACCCAGAGCCATATGACCCTAAAGCTGTGTCTGCAGTCCCCAGTAGTCAAAAATCAATGTGCCTCTGCCTTATATAATCCAGTATGGCTTCCTGGGACTGAAATTAATGGCTTTGTGCCCCAGAGCCACTGGTTAATAAAGTCTTATGTGGGCAGAAAATAGCAGTTGTTTTGTTTCCTTAAACTAGAAGTAGCTAAGATTTACTTCCTGGACCCAAGAAACTTTGCCTGTGTTCCAGGCTACTACCCATCTCTCTCCTTGTAGGTGAAGGTGTGTTTTATTCTTCTCATTATCATGTAGTTGAAAAGCAGGGTACATTTGTAACCAGTTCCACCTGATAATGGACTCATAATCCTCACCAGAGTACCCAGAAAGGTTTCTCTTCATTATGGCGGAGCTATTTGCTAATGGACGCCCGAAGCCTGCCAAATGCAAACCAGTTTGTGCCACATGTGCATGTTAATACAGGACTTAGCACAAAGGACTGGAGAAGAGGGTTTCCTCTTTTGTGCTCTCACCTTCAGCCCTCCACATAATTACCTTTGAAGTAGATTACCTCTAAGCACTCCTAATTAAATGCATGTTTTCCAGCTTCTGTGTGTCTTCCATTTTGATACTCTAACAGTGATCACACCTGTTTCTTTTCTGATGTGCATTCCAATGGGATTGTTAATCTTTATTACCATCTTTCTCTTAAAGACAATAATAGATACAGCAAAGTATTGCACTACTATAAGTACTCTATTAATTTCAGCATCGTTATTAATCAGACTGGATTGCTGGCATAGAACACCACTCAGCTAGGTAACACATTGACTGGCTGTTTGCTAATGGTGTCTGTTGCAGCTCCGCTGTGGCCGCACTGTTACCCGGCTCCTCTCAGGCATTGCTATTCCCTGGCTTGACATTCATTCATTTGTAGATGGAGCGGGACCATTTGTAGCATTT